CCAAGTTGAACAGACAATTCGATGTTTGTTCAGCCTTCAGGTGTACTTTGTGTTTCTCAAACAAGTGAATAATGTGTTCCTTATAATGGAATTTTTGGTTCGGCACTGATTTCGATCTGAAAGTTTCCGATTAATTGGAACAATATTTTCTCATTTCGAATGTGAAAGTTAGATTCTTCAGATTTGGATTGAAATTAGAATATACATACGTACATATAAGATTCTGATTTTTTTTTTCCGAATATTATACTTGCAAATTGTAATATTAATAGTATAATGTATATTATCTTTTAGATGACTAAAATTGGAAAAAAAATTAATACCGCACATTTTTCAATTTTGGAACAAGTTTTTTTACATTTTAATTTTCAAAATTTTGATTTTCTTTTTGCTGAATTTTTCGGAACGGAATTAAGATTAGATTTTCACTTGTATATTAAAAAAAAAAATATTACGTATTGTATGTTTTAAAATGTGGGAGTTGATTAGTTTTTATCCAACTTATTAAACAAATAAACATTATAAGCTTTCTCAAGAAATTAGAAACCCTTGTATTATCTCTCTTGTTTTTCACTCGTAAAACATCGGCATTTTTTTTTTTTTTAGAACAAAATGAAACCATTTTATTAGGCAAATGATGCCAAGTGAGTTGGAAGATGATCATCTTCGTAATAATCATCTACACTAAGATGGGCTACTGTATGCGCAATGCAATTCCCATTTCGTTTGACAAAAGAAAATATACAAGAATCAAAGTAATTAACAAAGAGACGGCATTCTTCAATCAAAGCGCCAAAGGACGTCAAATTGCTCTCTGAACTTTTAAGTGCATTAATAACTTGCAAGCAATCCCCTTCAATGATAATTTTTTTCCATTCTTTTTCTCGAGCTATCATAAGAGCATGTAGCGCCGCTCTTGCTTCGCCATCGACAAGTCTCGGTCGGCCTAGAAATTTCCGTACGTTCCACCACACACACTCCCCAATTGAGTTTCGAGCCACCGCCGCCACTTTATAAAACTTTTTTCCGGTCGGAAACGCCACATCAAAATTCACTTTAATTGTACCCTCGTTAGGAGGACACCAAATTGCATTTCCCTCTCTTGCTGAGTTTTGCAATATTATGGGCCTGTCTATGTGATATTCTGTCAAATAATTCTTCCCCCAAGAGACCAGGTCCGAAACCACTGTGTTAGGCGACTCATGCACTTCTTGGTTTCTAATATGCCATGCTTTCCAGCTGATGACAATTGCAAGGTTCAGATCTTCCTTGTTCAATGTCAGACGAAGGTGTTCAAACCACACCCAAAAGTTATTGTATTTGCCAACCTTATCGAGTTTATGGAAAGGAGGGTGCTGCCCATACTTTATTCATCCCACCGCAGTGACCAATAACATGCATAGTTGATTCTCGGGGTGAACCGCATCGTCGACACAACGGGCTAGTGCTTACTTTTCTCCGGAAAAGCTCTTCATTCGTTGGTAGAATACCATTACAAGCCCTCCATAAAAAGATTCTGATTTTGGGTGGCAGCTTTAGATTCCAAATAACGTTCCATGGTTTCGTTGTGGAACCACTCCCAATGCCATGCACCCTACCATTTGTGCGTAGCAATGCAACACGTGTGTTGTGGTAGCAGGTTCGCACACTAAACTTCCCATTCCGAGAATAATGCCATACCGTACGATCTTCTGCTCCGAGATTTCCAATGGGAACTTCCAAAATTCTCTCTTTGTCGATCGGCCAAAACACATCATTAATAAGCTGTTCGTCCCAATTTTTTGTGGAATTGTCAATCAAATCTGCTACTTGGTCTGGGAAGGGCGAATGCAACGGTCTCTTCGTTATAACCTTAAAAGCTCCATCCGTTTGAAGCCACGAATCCCCCCAAATCGCTGTATTTTTGCCATTCCCAATTCTCTTCCTTAAACCAATTTCCAGAAAAGGTTTTGCGTAAACAATGTTCCTCCAAGTGGCCGAGGGCCGCACCCCATTTGAAGCTCTAAGAAAATCTGTTCTCGGAAAATACCGTGCTTTAAGTAATCTCGACAACAAGGAGTCGGGATTTGTAAGAATTCTCCACCCCTGTTTTGCGAGTAAAGCTATGTTAAAACTCTTCAGGTCTCTGAACCCCATACCTCCTAAACTTTTTGGCTCACACAGACGATTCCACGACATCCAGCTCATTTTCTTATTAACTCCATCACCCCACCAGAAACGTCGAATCGCTGCCTCTATATCACGGATCAAGGAATAGGGAAGAACGAAACAACTCATTATGTAAGACGGAATGGATTGCAAAACTGCTTTAATTAAAACCTCTTTTCCAGCCTTTGAGAGTTGTTTCTCGCCCCAACCTTTAATCCGAGCCCAAATTCTGTCTCGGATGAAGCTGAAAATCTCCTTACGTGTACGTCCAATATTTATTGGCATCCCCAAATACTTGTCAAAATTATCAACTATGCAAAAACCAAGTTTCTGACCAATCGATTGTTTCAGCCCCATTGGTACGCCTGGGCTAAAGGTCATAGTTGATTTTTCAAGGTTAATGAGCTGCCCCGATACTCTTGCGAATTTCTCCAAGACCTGTTTGAGTGTTGTCGCCTCTTTCTCATTCGCTCTGCAAAAGATTAATGTATCGTCCGCAAAACAAAGGTTTGTCACAACTGGTGCTGTAGACGCAATTTGAACACCTTGAATTTTGCCTCGACTTTCTTCATGCTTAATCATCGCAATTAGGATCTCTGCACACAATATGAATAAATACGGAGAAAGAGGGTCTCCTTGACGAAGGCCCCGGGACGGGCGAAGGTGACCACACTGAGAACCATTCACAAGAAAAGAATAAGTGACGGTAGACACGCAAAAACATCGGCATTTTGATATAGTTAAAGAAGCGAGACTATTCAAAAATCGGAAATTTCTAAATATTCCAATAATTCAATTCCTAATATTGTGAATTAAAATTTCAAAATATTTCCGAAGTTTCGAATTTTTTAAAATTTCCTGAATCGGAACAGATTTTTGAATTACAAAAACTCCGGAAGTGTCATATATCATATCCAAAAAATATATTTTTATTCGAAAGATCTATTTCTGATTCGATGGATCCGACTTTCTCCATTTCTAAACAAACAACATGCTCAAAACATTGGCGCTGCTTCATTTGAATTAAATTGCATTGCCAAATAAAATAATTAATATTTATGAAAGCCCAAGACCAATCAGATTTGGGCCAAATGGGTTTTGTCAATAAACTTATTATCGTTGAAGACAAAGTCTAAGCCCAAGCTCGACAGGGGCCGTGTTATATTTCTGTGGTACTGGTATATAATTCTTATCTTATATATAAACTCTTCGATAACGAAACTCCTCTTGTTTGTATAATCACAATAATTCCTTCAACTATATATTCCACACTTACAATGTCAAATTTATATATATATATATATATATATATATATATATATATATATATATATATATATATATATATATATATATATATATATATATATATATATATATATATATATATATATATATATATATATATTAATATTTAAACTAAAATTAATTAAAAAAAAATATTAAATTAATTTTTTTAATATTTTTAATAAAATTTTGGTAATTTGGTTATTTATTGAACCAAACGCTAAACGATATGAAATTTTGGCGTACCGCGCAATTTTTGTAAAATTTTACTGAATAAATGCCCCTAAAGTTATCAACTTGAGGGTTTTCATAGAATAACGGAGGCTGCACGGACACTGAGGCGAGTGGCTGGAGTTCCGATTAATTGATTTGATTTAACCAGGTGTCGAAGGCGGCACGGCGGTGAATCGTCGGAGTTCCAATTAGTTGACTTGATTTAACCAGTTGTCAGTGGCGATACGATTGCGAGCCGTCGAATCTCCGATTAATTGACTTGATTTAACCATCTGTCAACGGCAGCACAACGAAGACACGATGGCGAGCGGAAGTTCAACTCAATAGGTAGTGAAAATTGAGGTACACTTGTGCCAAATGAAATTTGAGGGGTATTTCCGGAATATGATTTTGAAATGAAATTTTTGGAATGGAAAAAAGAAATGAGTGGGACTAATATGTAAAGAAACCAAGTCTTATGGGCCCTAATTGAAATAACTTCACTTTCATATTAGTCACTAATTTTATTATTTTCAGTAATGATTAGAGTGAAGCCCACCGCGAATCGTCCATCTTCCGCCACTCCCCTTTCCTGCTGCTCGGCCGCAGAAAGAAAGAAGATTTTGTGTAATATAAAGAAATCGCGAATAGCCAGCCCACTGATGAACAGAGTTCTTTCTCTCTCCCCATTCTCATCCTTTAATCCCTTTACAAACAGGTTGGTAACTCTCTCTCTCTCTCTCTCTCTCTCTCTCTCTCTCTCTCTCTCTTCTAGGTTGAACAGAGTATTTTGTTTCCAATTTTTGGTTTTTTACGTTTCAAGAATTTGCAGATTGGTTGTGAAAATGTCGGCGACCGCCACCACTAACGTTGGAATTCCGGCCGGTTCCCTGGTGGTGAAGCCTCCGGCGCACCCCACCTATGACCTCATCGGTGTTATACATCTGGCGCTCTCTGAGGACGCCGGCGATCGAGGTAAATTTCGCCGGAGAATTTTTTTATGGTATTTTAAAAATGAAATTGACATCTTTTGCATTGTATTTACATCTAGTGTTGCAACAATTGGTTTGTGTTGATTGTTTATTCAATTGATTCCACTGATTACAAGATGATAAATTATCAGTTGGATCACTAATTAGGATTACAATTAGTGACGATTCTAATTATTCAAGATTATATAAGCTAATTAGGGATTTGGTAAGCTAATTAGGGATTTGGTTATATAAGCCAATTAGCTATTCACAGTGATGATTTAATTATTCAAGAAACAAATGATTTAAAATTAGAATTTTAAGGTTTTATTTTTAGTTCGGAAATTAGCTTCGTTGATAGAATAACATTAGAATTTAAACTGAATACAGTAAAACCTCGATAAACTAATAATCCCGTTAGACTAATTAGCTTCATCTGGTCCCGACTCGATAAATACCTGCTAAACTATTAGTTGGATAATTTAATATTTCGCTGAATTAATAGAATTTTATTAGCCCGGCTGTATTAATTTATAGAGGGTTTGGTTAAAATATAGGGGATGTGACTTGTAAAGCAACAATTCCTGTCGAAACGGAAGTGGAAGCCTATTTTTTGGCGAAGGAGGATGGAATTGTGGCAGGTATTGCACTTGCAGAAATGGTATTTAAAGAGGTCGATCCTTCGCTAAAGGTAATTAATACTTTGGATCTATGTATCGTACCTGCAGATTCATTATTTTAAACATTTATCTCCGTTAGGAAGAAAATAGAATTACCAATTTGCTCTTTATTTGTTCGTTCGTCAGGTCGAGTGGTACGTAAAAGATGGTGATAGTGTGCACAAAGGCCTACAATTCGGCAAAGTACATGGTAAGCGAGATATAAAAAAAATTAAAAATCCCGGGAAAATTGAACTTTTATTCTGGAAATTCTTGTTTGACTTTGACCTTGATTTTTTTTATTACTAATAAATAAAAATATGCAGGAAGAGCACACAATATTGTTGTGGCTGAAAGGGTTGTGCTTAACTTTATGCAGAGAATGAGCGGAATAGCAACTCTGACGAAGGTGTTTATTTTTTGTCACTATTATTCATAAATTTTTGCCGTTTTTTTTTCTGGGTGATATTCATTGATCTAACGAACACAATAAATTTTATTTACGGAAAATAAATTAATTCAAAATTAATGCAGGCAATGGCGGATGCTGCTCGCCCTGCATACATTTTAGAGACTAGGAAAACTGCTCCAGCCTTACGTTTGGTGGATAAATGGGCGGTGTAGATCTCTATCTTCTTTACCTTTTACGCCAATCTTGATAATCGTAATATCATATTTTTCTTTTCTTTCTTTTTTGACCCGATAATTTTGCAGGTTTTAATAGGCGGCGGTCAAAATCACAGAATGGGTTTGTTTGATATGGTGATGGTAAAAGACAATCATATATCGATAGCTGGAGGTATCACAAATGCCATGAAAGCCGTCGATCTCTATTTACAGGAAAATAATCTTCAAATGGGCGTTGAGGTGGTGTAATTAAGCTTAATTTTTACTGCATACTGATATTATTTAATTAATTTGTTCAAGAATATTTGAGTACAGGTCGAAACGAGGACGATCGAGGAAGTAAATCAAGTACTAGAATATGCATCCACAACAGAAACATCATTGACAAGAATAATGCTGGATAATATGGTTGTCCCCTTGTCTAATGGTGACGTTGATATATCCATGCTTAAAGAGGCTGTCGAATTGATTAATGGGAGATTCGAAACTGAGGTA